TGTAGACATTTGGGATAGTGTGGATAGTGTAGTTGTAGTTTGCTCAAATCCAGGTGACAACTAATCTTCCTGCATTTTGAACTTTCCGTTGCTCTGGGCATTCTTTTCTTCTACAGGTACATAATCGGTTCGCCTCCCGATTTCGTACTTTTTCAAAGGAAAAAGAGGTCACGCCAAATTCAAGAATTATTTGAATTGTGCCACGAGACCAGGAGGCCCGGAAGGCCCGGAAGGCCCGGCCAGTTGGCGCCAGCTTCGATTTTTAGGCAAAAAGTGTTTTTTTTTTTGAAAAAAGTTGTTTTTATCATCTAATATTAAGCTGAATTGTAAATATTGAATTTGTGAATGTTTAAACAAATTTTTGAAAAATAATTTTCTTCCTGTATTTTTCCAAAGTTGAGATCGAAGAAAAAATTGCATTTTTGAAGCAAAATAACATTTTTTAAAACTAGTTTTTTTGTTTGAAAATTCTCAAAAATTTATAAAAAAATTTTTTTTTTGAGAAATTTCGAATAAAAAATACCTGTCCGGGCCTTCAACGATTTTACAGGTTTTTGACATCTCATTTAGCTTCTATAAATATTCATAAAACATAAATGTCTCCGAGTTGTTCTTCCCGTTTCGATCTTTTGTAACTACACAGTTTTTAAAAGTTATCTTTTAAATGACCACCAGTATTAACAGGTCTAGTCCTAATACCCCAAAAAAATGACAAATCTGTGAATAAATGCAGTTTGCATTGGGGATTAAACTTTTTGACAACTTTTAATCGTTTTTTAAATTTTTGTTCCGCATTCAGTCTCCTATTAAAACAGTGTGAAAACGATAAAACTGTCAGTATTCTAGGTATTGAGATGTTAAAGTTAACATCTCTAATACTGGTGCTTTTTGCATTTTCCCATGTTGTTGATTGCAGTTCGATGCCAGTGAGAAATATGTTTCTCAAGGTAACACATGTTATGTTCACATAAAAATATTATTTTCAGGTTGGAGATCGTCTGGAAATCGAATATTACAGCCCAAAGAAACTTGAGAGATTTGTGAAGAATGCAAAAGGAGTTGAACAACATCAAGTTTATAGAATTTGCAATGGAAACAATAAAGCAAAGTGTGGATTTTGGGAGAATATAAAAGTAACACACAAAATTTTTTTTAGTTGGAAAATCTGGAAGTTTACAGACCAAGAAAAAGGTCGGACCAACCACCAATTACAATAAGAAGAAGAATATGATGGTTATTCCAAAAGTGAAGTTACTCGATGCGGGAACATACAGAGATAATTATTATGATACTGTTTATGTTTATATTGAGAAATAAATATTGCAAACTTTTGCTTTTTTTTGTTACAAAAATTGGTAGAAATATAATATTACGTTTCATGCAAATCTACTGAAATTTTCAAAGCGATTCCTCAAGTCTAGGGATTGGTATGATTGTCCTAAGATGAGTAATGTTTCTTGCACGCCGTTGTGATTTTCATAAGTAGAAGCATTTTTGAAAGCTTATAACCCAGCTCAGAGTGGATCAAATCAATTGTAACTTGGTCAGTTTGCGGATGAATTATTTAATTATTTGCACTCCCAATTTGAGTGTGCGAATACCGTATTTGCTCTAATGCCCTTTGAGTTCAATTTTCTCGGTTCCTTCAGAAGATATCAAAAAATCTTTTACTGAAAAATTATTCATCATAATCTCAAAGTTATTTTATCAATTAAAATATTTTTGATGTCTAAGGGGGAATTTAATGCGGCTATTTCTGATATCTAGGGGGCAATTTAATGCGGTTTTTTGTCAGATGATCAATCTACTAAAATCTAAAAACTTCCTCACAAAAATATCGCGAAAAAAATCAAGTATTCAGGCGAAAAAATTTCGCTTCTGGTCTCCCTATTTTTTTCTATTTGTTCTGATTTCCTTTTGCCTCTTGACTAGACCCATGTGATATGATATCTGTTCTCTTGAGAATCTTCTGATGACGATGATTTTTTTTTTATTTCAGACTTTGACGTGGATTTCAAGATGAGAAA